GAGGTGTTTTTTTTTTTTGGATGACGGGGAGAGGGGGGGGGGGCACCAGTTGCCCTGCCAACCGCTCCTGATCCTCATTACTTCAGCAACAGCAACACCCCTGTCTCAGTCCTCCTGACCCTCACTCCTAATACATCACCCTCTCTCCCCTTTTTTGCTGTGATATAAGCTACTGTGGAAGCTCCCAAATGCCCCCTCCCTCCTCCTCCCCCATCCACTTTTAGGATGAGGCACGATAGCAGAGAGAGAGAGAGAGGCAGTAAGGGAAGCAGCAAGATAAGAAGGACAAAGGAAAAGGGTGGTGGAGCATAAAGATAAAGTCAGGAAGCAAAGGAGGGAAAGACAAGGAGGAGAGAAAGCGCGAAGGAAGAAAAGTAATAAAAGGGAGAAAGGGGAGGAGGGGGGAGGGAGAGTAATTAGGGCTGTTTCCTGATTAAGAGCTCAGTGGAAGGGAGGCCCCCAGAGGAGGCGCGGAGCGGCACTATGGGAGCGCCAGCCAGGAGCACTGATACCACACAATCGATTCATTAGCCAGACAGTGGAAGCCTTAATGAGGCTGACGCCGCAGCTCGCTCTCCCCAGCGAGAGGTGTCAGGAGCAGGGGAACGATGACGCTCCGAGACGGAGGGGGGGCACTTCAGATATCCACATACACTGACATGAAACATGGACTTGCTCTCAAACACACACACACACACACACGGCGCACGTCATCGGGCAAGAATACACACACACACACAGATACACCCCCTTGAGGTAATCGTAGGAAGACAGAAACACACACAGAGCACCCAATTAAACATTCATCGCAGCGCTCCCCGTCTCACTGCCTAATATCTATTTTATTTTGGTCTGACAAAGGCAGCGTCTAATGAGCAGCGGAGTCAATGGGATTCTCCCAGGGCCCAGAGACACAAACAGAGAACATCAGCCAAGCTGTTCCCTCTAATTCCTCTGGATTGTTCTCCTGACACTGGGCGCTGCACTCACTCTCATTAAAGGCACTGTCAGCTAGATGAAGTAGCAGCATGCCAACTTCACTGTAAGGCAGACAAGAGGGCAAATTAACTACACCCGATCATGCTATCATCAGCGGCCAACTAAGCAGCGACTAATCCAACCCCTTTCAAATTTTATGCAACTAGTTCCTGTTTTCATTTGCAAACTGGATTATTACATCAGAGTCACCTTCTCTATCTCTGCCCGCCTGCTGATGTGCTAGTGTTCAAGGTGCTCTGGCTAAACCTTGTTTTGTTAAGCTATTGATTGCTATAAATTGAGATGCTTAAGGAAAAGTTTGACATTTTTTGGGAATATGCTTGTTAGCTTTCTTGCCTAGATTCCATAGATCGATACCACTCTCCTGTCTGTAATCTACGTCTAACCCAGGTTAGCATTATGACTGAGAGCAGGGGGAATCTCGTTACTTTGTCCTCTTCAGAGCTTCTGGCGGGTGTATTTTGCCGCCTTTGCACAGAGCCAGGCTAGCTGTAACCCCTTGTTTCCAGTCTTTATGCTAAGCTAAAGCTAATGGGCAGCCTTATATTTACTGTACAGATAGGAGAGTGGTATCAATCCTCTCATCTGTATCTCAGCAAGAAAGCAAGTATGCCTGTTTCCCAAAATGTCAAACTCTTTATTTAAATCAGATTCTTAACTTTTCAATCCTCCTTGTATCATAATCCAAACTGGCAGGCAAACTGTATATCAGAGCTCTCTGCTTCTATAGAACATGCATCACCAATGTGTAGACTAAAAAAAAGGCACATTTCAAGCTTTTCTTTTATTACTCATTTATTTCTGTATTTTTATGAATAGTGATTGCTTGTCTTATGTAATGATATGTTTATGTACTGGGGTTGCCTATGACTGCGTTTCAGACTTGGGGTAGCAAACAGAGAGACACACTCATACACAGAGACAAACAAAATCAAGTGGAACACAGGCGGGAAAAATATTTTTAATTCTTTTAACTTTTTACTTGAAGAACCAGTGTATTTTTATCCTTGGTGATGGTGACAGGCAGAGGGCGTACAACATGAGCAGTCCCATGTAAAGAAAAAAAAAAACCTCCGTTTGGGAGAAAAGATCCTCTGTCTTCTGTTTGTTGTTTTTGTTTTATTGCCCCCCCCCCTTTTTTTCAAAAGTGGTAGTAAATGTACTATAGTCTGTTTTCAGTCCTTAATGTGCAACTAAACTGTGTCTGCTGAGTTCGTAGTCAGTGTACTGCAGGCGTCGGCTGCCACACGACCAAACAGATTTAGCCATCGAAGAGGTTCCACTTTTTACTGCATGCTTGTTGCACTAAAGCTCCACTTCTGCTGATAGGAGACAGATCTGATTTTAATTCAGTAGGTACAGTGAAGGGTCTCACAAGCCACAGTTTTACAGAGGGATGCTTTTTACATTACAGTATGCAATTTAGTTCAATTGTATAAACCCTTATAAAGATTTGTCCAGGTTTCTCGCTGCAGCGCTAGTGCAGGATACAAGGATTATGAGGGACTTCTACAATGGCTACTGTATATACCAGCAAGAAGTCAGAGATCATCTGTACAGTTTAATGCCTGCCTCTTTCCCTTTCTGCCTGTCAGCCACAGGCACACCTAAATGATATTCTCATACACAAGCGGCTTGTATACTACTCAGAATGATGCTGTATAATGGCTATGCATTAGGTGGTATAGCGTGAATATTTGGGACATTGTATTTGATACTCTTCTGTCAGTAATGCCCCCCTTGCCTGTGCTTTCTCTGTTCAGTAAAAAAAAATAATTCCCGTTTTACAAGCCCATGTTAAGTTTCTTTAAAAAATCCAAGGAGCTTTTTTTTTTTTATGCACCGTGTCTTCTTCCCTCCTGATGCGTTTCCTATGTGTTGTACAAGAAATGCTATGTGTGAAAAATAAACCCGACTTGTGTTCATCCTTTCAGGTGCCTACTGTGTCCATCTTTCCCCCCCCCTGGGGAATACTGAAGGAAAAGGCCAAATAACCAAAGAGGAATACTCCACTATCTAAACCCACTGCACATAAAGTGACTTAATTCTTATCATTAACAATATTGGGGGTGCAACAAATAAAAAAGGCCCAGTTTAATTTGATTAAAATAAAAGAAATGACTCAGGTCAGTGTGATAGCATCAGCAAAGTGTTATTTTTATTGCCCTATATAAATCATGTTCATCCACTTCTTTTATACAGTCTATGGTTCCACTCCATATTTCCCCCCTGATCATCCACATCCTCCCTGCAGTTTGAGAACCACTGCTCTAAACACTGAGAAGCAGTTTTGTCCATTTGAAAGCCACAACTTTTTCATCCATTATTCTTTCTGAACACTTACAAACGGAGTTTTACAAGAGCTCTCAGCAGTTTGACTTTCACCAGTATTGAACAGTACTTTTAGCACACCCAGAACATGGTCCATCTCATCACACTAACAAAAAGGCAAATTGGTGATTCATTGTTTCTGCTCCACACTGACAATACAAAGCAGAAATCATTAAATACTGGGCTCCATCTGCCCCAACTCGATTTTTGATTCCTGGAGTTTCTAGTCTCTTTAGATAAGTTGTGCACATCAAATCAAGCACAGATACTGGAGCTCATTTACACACATTTCCATACGTGTAGAATTTTAAAAAGATGCTGAGATGCGGGGCCTAAATTTAAATTACAGGAAACAGGCATGCCAAACATCTTCAAAGGCTGTGTTGCTTAATTGGCAGCTGCAATTTCCATACACTGCACATTTTTGCTCTATCGAAATTGTGCCCCATCTTATGTGATAAATAAGTTCCAATGACACAAACCTGCTATGACATTTTTAAGAAAAGATTACTTTGCGCTAATCGGGGACTAAAATTACTTCATCCAGCGGGTAGTTTCAGCAGAGCTATGTGAAGCAAAGCACTGAGCAGGTGAGTGATTGGTTTCTTTATTCAGGGCAGTTCAAACCAGTTAGAAGCAGTTTAACAGCAATTGCTGTTATTATAGGTATTAACAGCACTATTGTGCATTTTAGAAAGGACAAAGGTCAAAACTGTGGTTTCAATTTTCCATTAAAAGAAATCAAATGATGGTAAATCATTTATTATCCGCCTGTATGCCAATGATCGTTTACTGTGGAGATAAATGCTTGCCTCATTTTTTCTTCACTTTTACGCTCACAGTAAAAGCTTTTTGTCTTGACAGGCCAGTCAACGCTACACACAATCACTGACTGAAGAACTACCTCTTGGGCATTATTGCTGTAATAATCCATCCCTCAGCCTACTGTGCTGCACATCACCTTTGTCTCAACACACTACGAACCAGCTCAGCACAAAAACAAACTGTACGGCTGCATTATTTACCGAGAGCTCCAGTCGCAGAGGAGCTGGGGGAACGTGCTCGTGCTGTAGGTTTGAATCCTGAGACAATTTCTCGTATGTGTGAGGATGCAGACGCTGACTGGAAGAGAAGCTTTGTGCTCTTTCAGTGAGGGAGAAATGCTTCCATCACAGGGGAGAGAAGGCAGAGTGTGTACTCACCATTCACATCCTTCATTTTTCATCTAAATATTTCTAAGACGCTTCCTGGCACCTCGCTGTGAGCACAAGCTTTTCTGGCTGTTATGGTTTAAACAAATATTCAACAAATGCTTCTTTTGATTTCCCCCGCCCCCCCACAGTTTTAAACATCCAAGTTAAACCTGGCAAGAACCTGACTTGGTTCTGCTGTTGAAAAACACTTCTTGACAGCCAGTAGTGTGTAACATACACACACACACACACTCTCTCTCTCTCTCTCGGCTACTTCATTTCTACTGTTCACACCTGCATCAGCTCATAAGCAAACATGTCAATCTGTTTTTTACAAGAGAAGATGCTACTGAAAGACAAAAAAAAAAAAAAAAAAAAAAAACACAACAACAACAAAACACACAGATTACACTGCAGATCACAGACTGCCCCAGACTCCCATCAGTTTTCTTAAAGCAAAGTCACAGATAACAATCCTTGTTTGTCTTTAGAGAACTTTATTTACATGTCCATATATAGCATGGTTTAAGGTTCATGATGCAGTTCTGAAAATACCTGTCTGCCTATATGTGCCCTAACAAATACAATAGAAAAAAAAAAACTTAATGTGGAGTGTTATGGACAATGATGATGATGATGATGATGAAGCAGAGACCACGTCCCCGAAACTTGGAGAGTAGCCCACCTGTTTTGAGCTGTTTGAACAGACTTCAGTTTTCTGTCCTCGGGGGTCGTGGTTTTCTTTTCCAGCCTGGTCTCCCCAAAATAAGTCTTTGTTCTTTTATAAAGAAAAAAGACAAATAAAAAAAAGGAACAAAGAGAAACTCTCGAGACACTTCAGGGAAAACCGAGCCCTGTTCTGTCATGTGTGTGCTGGGGATGATACAATCATGTTGCTGCTGAAATTTAACCAGGACGGGGGGAAAAAAAGCAGCTGGAACTTCACAGCACACCATCCTGCCATCTGCCACGCATCTGCTGCCCCTTGGGAGCAGCCATGTGCTCTGGACTGAGCTGGACCGGACCAGGCCAAACCGGGCCAAGCTGACCCAGGCTGACCCAGGCTTTTTACATAGCATGGAATATGCACCGATTTTTTTCCCATGAAGAGTTTCCAGCTCCCCCACCCACCCGCACCCTTCCCCCACTTCCTCAGTCCCACGTCTCTCTTTTTCCACTCGATGCGGTCCAACTGTCTGCGAAAAATTCAAAGTCTAAAAAAATATTTTTTTTTGCTAATTTCTTGTTCACTACAGAGGTTTTATTTTGTTAAAAAACAGGAAAAAAAGGAACAAAAACATAAGTTCTTTGGAGGAATCCACAACTGCGCAGCTACAGACTAACCAGCGTTCTCAGAGCATTAAAAACAATGTTCAAAGTTTGTTTTTTTTCCAGAGATGTGACTTTGTGCCCCCTTGCTTATCTTTCTCTTGCATTTCTTTCACAAACGTAAACAAAACAACAAAGTAGGAGTTTGAATGTCTCTTCTTTTCCATGCCACCGACGCTCTGTACAGTCATTGGTGCAGGAGGGAGCCTTGGCCCCGCCCCCTGATTATTCGCCATCCCCCCACCCACCCCATCCCCCAGCCAATAAGAGTTCAGTAGATAACTTCGTAGACTGTGGCCTTCTTGTCCCCGGAGCCAGTGACAATGAACTGGTCATCGGGGGAGATATCGCAGCTGAGCACCGACGACGACTCTTTAGACTGAGCAGAGGGGCAGAGAGAAAGGCGTATTAGCTACAGTCAAAGAATCATGTTTTTGTACAAATAGCGACAATGAAACTCACATGTCGGCTGTTATTCAAGTCAATAGTGATCTACTTGTGTACCAAAATACACTTAATATTCAAACAAGATGATGAAAAAAGCCTTGGAACTGTTTTCATTCACCATTTTCAAGTTATTTCCTAAACAAAAATTCTCTTGACAGAGATCTGTGCATAAAACTCTGTGTTTTATGCCCTACCTGGAATATGCTGGATCCATAAGGTGTCCGCCAGGCATTCAGGAGGTTATCTTTGCCTGTGCTCACGAACCATTTACCTACAGGACAAAACACACACAGCCATCAACAGATAAACCCTCAGGGAGAGGTGAGATATGGAGAAGCCTGAGAGGAAGCGCTTTTTTAAAGAGGAGAGGTGAAAAGGAAGAAATGGTTTCTGAATAATGAGAGTGGCAGATTTGTTCTGCTTCCTTAGTCTGTGTGTGCGTGTGCGTGTGCAGGTACGTACCGCAGTAGGCGAACTTGAGTGAAAGAACGCAGCTCTCGTGGAGGTGCAGCTGGTACTTATCAGGTTTGGAGACGTGCAGGACTTCCACGTTACTGCTCTCCATTCCCACAGCCAGCCACTCGCCTGTCGGACAGTAGCCCAGAGAGAAGATCTGGAGATGGTGAGAGGGAGGCAAGGAATCAAATGAGGGAGAGAAATAAATGGAGAGATGAGAGCGGTAATGCGTTATTGATCATCAGCTGCCTGTCTATTAGTCTGGACCGCAACAAGTGTGATTTGTGTGTGTGTGTGTGTGTGTGTGTGTGTGTGTGTGTGTGTGTGTGTGTGTGTGTGTGTGTGTGTGTGTGTGTGTGCGCGCTTACCTGCGAGGTGAAGTCGTGTTGCTGGAGCTGCCGTCCCTCTCGTAGGTCCCAGCAGCGGACCGTGTTGTCCAACCCTCCCGTCCACAGTTTGGTGCCGTCGTTGGAGATGTCGATGCAGCTCGCTCCGTCTGTGTGGCCTTGGAACTGCCTGCGGGGAGGAGACCCACGACACACACACCATTATAATACCTCTCTGATTTCTGCTCATTCCAAAATCTTCCAATTTTTTTTCATTTGCTCAAGTTCTCTCTTTTCCTATTTCTCATATATTTACTCAGTAAAAGGACTGCACTGGTGGTTTTCCATGTTTCACCCCAGTGACTATTACCTGCTTACAACTTACTTTACTGACAGCCATTTCAATAAGCATACAAGTGGTGAAATAATGTTTTAATGCATTTTTCCTACTTACCAGGAGCCTGCTTATTTCAGTTCATTTAAGTACATTATGACACTCTTAATTCGACTTACTCGCCTGACATACTGTAGCTACTAATGAATCACACGTCATCACTTTTTTTTTTAAACTTAATTTTCCCATGAAACACACCACCACAAAACTACAGTGACTTAAAAAAGTAGATTCATTATGTAATCTTTATTTGGCAACGGTTTGCCTTAAGACCCTATTTTTAGCACTCATAAGCAATATATAAACATTTAATAATAGGGTTTTATTATTACACACCATAATGTAGTGCAGCTTTAAGTGTTTATTAACGTATTTGCTGTGGGCACCCATAAGTGGAAGCTGCTGTATAAACAGATGATGAATGGCAAACATAGTAAAACAGTTATAATATAAAGTTGTAATATATAATAAAATGTGTCTTCACAGGAGAATCTGTGACAAATACTGTACATTAAATAAATGCTTAAAATGTCCTTATAGCTGTTTATAGCTAACAACATTATAGTGTTATAAACTTTTTACCAAAATGTTTATGTACTGCTTATAAATGACAAACAGGTGAACTTAAAGTAAAGTGTTAATTTTAAGGGATAAGTATATAACATGGACCAGTGCCACATATCTTAGCATTTAAATCCTAAGCTAGATGCCCAGATATGTGTATTAGCTGGCAAAGCACTGCACAGCCTAAGGTGTAAGATGGTGGTGGCAAATACAGCGGAAAACAAAACAAACACTCAGCATCTTAACCTCCCTGTAAAAAACACACAGACACACACAGGTTGTGTCCTCCTTCTCTAAGCAGTGTTCAGCCTCCATACTTTGGTTGCCTTTCAGCAATGTTTGCTTTCCCCTCCTCTCTCTGCTTTATGACTGAGATTGGCAGAGGCAGATTGTGAAGTTTCAGAAATTTGCCCCATCTCTCTGTGTGGTCATCTCTCTCTCTTCTCATTTCCCACTCCATAACTTATCTTCCTTTTTCATCATTCCTTACTCTCCTCCTTTCTTGTTAGCCTACTTGAATAGAATCTGGCCATTTTCCCGATTCCATCTACTAAAACTAGCGAAGACGATGCAATCTGTCCCCTCTCCTCCCTCCCCTCTCTTACCTGACCAGAGTCTGGTTGTGAAGGTCCCAGACTACGATGTTGCCGTCGCTGCAGCAGGAGAAGCAGACCTTGTTGTCAGGGGAGATGGCCAGAGCGTAGCAGGCGGGAGCAGATGACGTCAGCTCCGCCTTGATGCGAGGAGTGGGCGTGGCCAAATCCCAGATCGACAGCGTGCTGGCCTCCCCGCCGACGATCAAGGTTCGCCCGTCGGAGAGCAGCTTGCAGGAGCGGATGTAGTTATCCCTGTTCTGTTTTTTACACAATAAAACGACAAATATAAACATTTATACACAGCAATATATGATGTAGAACTACGTAATTGGTGACAGGAAGATGCAAAGACACAAAGTTAAGCGCGCTGCTACAGTAGTATCACAGCAATACATAAAGAGGCTGGAGGATTTGGCTTTAGGACAACACAAAGGTGATTCATCAACCAAAGTGTGTTTTTATGTGTGGGGGAAAAACAAGAGCATCACTTTTGGTAGTAAAGCAACATTATTAGACACTGGATGGGCAACAAACTTTAAATATGAGCCTTCAAACATCCCTCTAAGTGTCTCCCCCCCTCCTCCCTAACATCTCACCAGACAGTCCAGCTGGGCCATGGGGCTCTTGCTACCAGGCTGGCTGATGTCCCACACCTTGACGCAGCCCTTGCCTCCGGTGTAGACGTGGCGTGTCGAGGTGCTGATGGTGACGGCGCATACCACCTCGCCGTGGCTCAGGGTGTGGATCTGACGGGCATGGCGAGGGATTCCGGGGCCAAGCAGGGCGTCTGGGGGAAAGGGCACCGGCTGCATCTGGCCGTCTGCGCTCACATGGAATGAGTAGGCGCTGTGGGGGGGGGGGGGGGGGGGGGATATAGAGAGATAGAGATAGAGATAGAGAGAAAGAAATGGATGAATAACTGAGATTTAAGGCTGCAGCTAAAACCCTTTCTAAGAGAAATCCACTTCAACTTCTACATTTTCAAGAAATACTTTTTCTGACAGAAGACAGACTGACCGTGAATGACTAAAACCTTGACATTTACTAATGATGTCCGGAAAACTGAAACATACTGTATTTAACTACTGCATTTTGAAGCTGCTCTACAAATATCAGTGATGTCACATCGTCTATGTCGGCCAATTTTTCTGCAAAAGTACTCCAAACAACAAAGTTAAGTGGAGCCAGAATTGGAGTCTCATGTTAACAACGGTTTAAAACATGTTTCAGGTGCTTAAAGAGTGAAAACTTACTTTAAAGTGCTTGATTTATGAACACAGGTTGTTGATTCGAACAATGTTGCTGTACATTTTGACCTAACAAAGTTCTGGAGGCTCAAAAAGGCTTTATTCCCTCCTGTTTTTTCATTACAACATCTTTCATTGTTCTTATTTTCTTCTAGTGTTCTAATTGAAATTTTAGGAGAACCTGAGCACAGTTAATAGTGAACAGGTGAAGATTTGAGTGACAGCAGGAAGGAAAGAGGGAACTCACGGTTTTCCAGAGGTGGCTGACTGCAGGCTGGCAGGCAGCCCAGGGACCCTCATATGGGGGTGTGGAGACTCATAGCCCACCTGAAGGAGAGAGCGATATTCTAAAGTAAGAAAAGAAAAACATCTGAAGAGATACCTGTATTCATGGAGAGCATTCCACCTGGTAATAAAGGACAGTATCAGATGAAAGATCAGAATTAAATGAGATCATATAAAGCAAAGAGACTTTTCAAGAGCCAAGGTCATTGATTCTTAATGATTAATGACAATCCAGCTCCAACACTCCATTCTCTCTCTCATTTTATAATATAATATATATATATATATATATATAGATATATATATATATATATATATATAGAGAGAGAGACACCTCTTTTTGCCCTCTCTGACAGGTTTATATGCTGAGGTATTACATATGACAGTGACACTGGAAAGACGAATTATCTGCAGAGCAGCTAGCTCACCACAGGGGACCGTCCGTAGCCTGCGGCAGCTGCTGCTGCCGCAGCTGCTGCTCCGTTCATCTGGGGGGAGACCAAGTGGAGGCCAGCGCCATAGCCCGCCGCCCCAGGCAGGTCCCCGTTCACCCCTGGAGGGGGCAGGCCGAAAGCCCCTGGAGGGTACGCTCCCTGCACAGCCAAGGGGTTTCTCAGACCCAAAGCTGGAGGAAGGAGGGAGGGAGGAAAGAAAAGGCAAGAGTTGTGAATTATTTAACTGAACAAATTATTGATTGAGGCAGTATGTGACAGTCATTCAAAGAGTTTTATCTTTCATTTTAGCATAGACCGGAATCAGCTCTACATTTTTATTTAGGTGACTCCCTCTGCAGGGCCTTTCACTGTTTCTGACAGTAGTGACTGACAGGCTGTGAACAAGCTGCAGCCTGCCATACAAAAGGCAGGACAACACTAACTGCGGCACTGGACCACTACTGACCCCTGCTGGTCACCATTACTTCCTGCAGCGAGACAGTACTTGTATGTGTGTGTCTGCTCACTTAAACGTCCTTTCTATGCATGTAGCTGCAGCTACGAGTGAGTACGCATGCATAATGGTGTGTGCGTGCGTGTGTGTGTGTTTGAGTGAAAGCGGAGCAGGGGCTAACAGGTGATGTGAGGGGAAAAAGGAGAGAAAGAGAAGAGATACACTGAAATAGATGGAGACTCATTATGAAGCAGCTCACAGTCACAGTCCATCACCTCTCCTAATCTTTCCATTTAAAAAGTGAGGGGCGCTGAATATTTTTGCCCACAGCTGCTTATTAAGTCCAGATGGTGGCGGGTGGTGGGGAGCTTGCTGCCCATACCAACGACTGTGGCCCGATGTTGATAGAATCACTACATGTAACAAAGCAAGGCTAAAAACTCTGCAAAGGAAGATTCATATTTTTATTTGACTCTGTATGCAGTGCAAGTTTTTGTCCCTGAGAAGACGGATGGAGACATTCAACCTCCTGAGCAACATTGGTGGAGACTAGCTTTACAGTTTCACTTAACACCAACTTCAGGTTTTCTGAAATACAGTTCTCCCTTTTAACAAGAAAGTGCAGATGATATGTTCTTTGGGGAATAAAAGCAATCTCATGTGATGTTCTTACCGAGGTCGACACCAGGCTTGCCAAGGACCGGTCTGAACTGTGGAGGTCCGCTGGGTCCTGGAGTGTTGGACTCTTGAGACATGGGGGTCCCTGGCTTCATACCTGGAGTACTGGACTTCTCCCTCTGGAGGAGCAGAGAAAGAGAGGGAAAAAAAGACAAGTGTTAGGAAACAAAGACTGAAAAGAAAATAAACAAAAAAATAGATATATAGGGGGGAAACCAATTTAATAGTGAAGGACTGAGCAGGAGGAGAAGAAGAAGCAGAAGAAGAACAGAATGACAGTAAGGATGACTGAGGGCAGATGGGACCAGAGAAGCACTGTGGGATGTCAGCAGCCCTGACTGAATGTGAAAGACACTGAATATACGGCATAATAACTCCAAGGCGAACTATTGACCCAAACAAAAGAAACAGCAGAATACAGTCTGTGCTGACAGCAACACTGATGCCCCTATGCTGAAATATACCATGTGTGTTCTCTTTAGATGTCTGCAGGCACCTGAAAATAATAAAACAAAAATGATTCTAATGTAATGTCTTTTTATGCCTTTGTGTAGTTCACTAACGGCACATGAATCCTTGTGCGTGTTCATACAGGTGTGTCCGTCTACCTGTGGGGGCTCTTTGCCACGAGACGGGGAGGCAGCGCTGCTGGAGGAGGCCAGGGAGGTGGGGCTGGCCTGCGGGGGGCCCTCCTTACGGGACGGGGGTATCTTGTCCAGGCCGTTCTCCCTGGATGAGTAGGACTGCACGCTGCGGGGGGACGACGGGTCCTGAGTTCAAAACACATAAAGCTTTATTAGACATGATGGAAATAAGAAGCAATGGTGATTTATTCATTCATTCTACTGTGTTTTACTGCTGAAGGCCACAGAGATCATCTGGAAATGAGTCAGTGTCTCTGTGTGTTCTTGTGCTGATTAACTCTTTTCTTGGCTTGTTACCCAACTAAGAATATTGAAACTGGTTTTACATGCTATAATCAAACCTCCTGTTTATACTGGCCACTAAGCAATCACTTCCTACTGATTTAAAGGTGTAGGGGGCGCTCATTCATAAAACGAATAAAACCTTAATAGTCATGCCAAAAGAATTACATACATAAAAAAGGTATAGTGTGTGTATGCCTATCAACTTTATGGCTGTGTATGTTGTGAAATAAGGGCAGGCAGAGGTGGAGGAAGGAGGTTATTACTTTTATTATTATCATTATTCAGATGGTGCTGTTGGGTGTGTTTACATGATGTATGCAGATGAAAGCGGCGAAGTGGGGCCAACAGAGGCCGGCGGCCGCCTACTAACCTCATCCACCACCAAATTATCATCACTCTTATCCGCATCGCTGCCCTGTGAGAGGAGAGAGAGAAACTGAGATTAGATATTCCTGCTCTGCTGTCTGATGTATGTAGATTACATGTAGAAATATACAAGACACACCAAGTCATACCCAAACAGAGGTGTGTATGTGTTTGTGTTACCTGACATATATCAAAAAAGCTTTATAAAACATTTTTTTTGCACTGTCTCAAGAGCTTTAATTTGTTACACAGCGGATAGAGGAAAATGAATTATCTTATCTTGACATTTTATTGCCGGCGATGAGATGGCTGGAAGTAAACGCAATGGACAGTACAAATGTGATTAATTTTAGATGCTTAACTTGGAGAGGTGAAACCCTCTAAGGCACTGCTGTTTTTAATATTGCAGGTCTTCTCGAACAAAGCGATAACGCTGGACTACCCAAGATTAATTTATCTCACACTAAAAAATAATCCCTTACAATGCTCAATACATCTGCCTTTCTACAATTACACCAATAATACAGTGATGACAGTGGGGACTGAGAGTATTTCATTTCATTTGTCTAAAAAAAAGCAGGTCTCCAAAGTCCACTGTGCAGACATCACTGGTCTTATTTGGGTGAAGCTGTCTTTCAGTTACTTAAACATTTAACAGTGTTAGGAAAGTGCCTCACATAGTCGGTCATGAACTCCTTCTCATCAGCTTTCCTCTTCTTGCCGTTGCTGAGGTAGTCTGCTTGGCGACCCTTATCCCCATTGGAGAGAGAGCTCTGCAAAGAGGAGAAGAGTGAGAGCAGAGGGGTGAGGAGGGGGGGTAAAGAGCAAAGGGGAGGTGAGCATGGGGGGCACAAAGAGGAGCAGGAGGAAAAGAAGGAAGGAGAGAGGGGGAAAGAAGAGGAAGTGAGGGCAGAGAGGACGGAAGAGAGTGATAATGAGGTGAGAGGGACTGCATAAATCATGTCAAGCTCATAAGCTGTGGAGATGAATGTAAAAGAATTTCAGCCATCATCGATCGGCCAGCTCACTGTAAGAGTTAGAGGGAGAAACAGAACGCTTCAAACTGCCTGAGCGTGCTTTGGCAATGATGCAGCTTTTTAAACCAGTATTGTCACAGTTGTGCAGTGGTAGTGATATAGTGTCGAGGTCTAAAGTGTCGTCATGCAGGGTCCAGCATCAGTGACTGAAATCCTAGTGTATAGAAGCCACAGAAAGCAAAATAAGATGTTTTTATACTTTAATGTGAATGCAATTTTAAGGACCAAAAAATCATAAATCCATATTTAGAACTTATTATTTGCCTTAGTGAATAAAAATAAACATTTCATATTGTCTTTTACTTACTTTTGTGGAGTGGATACCCATGTACAACACTGAATTTGCATACATATCAAAGACCACTGAACAAATAAGTGTAAAAGTGTGAGTGTACTTGATATAAGTGTAGCCATTTGTACTCACTGGTCCTGCTTCACGGTCTGTTCATTCCAGGCAGAAGCAACAAACACATCCAGGTACCAGGCCAGAGGACAGCAAATGCCGAGGACACACACACACACACACACACACACACACACACACACAAATGCAAGATTATCTGCCATCACTTCACATCACTCTGCAGCTGATGACTCAGTGAAAAAATATCCCTGAGGAGTGTTATTATCAGCAACACTCCTGTGCCCTGCCAAATATCCAAAGCAAAGCCAATCATCAGAATGCATCGAGCCAAGCCTCAGTGTGTTTACTCTACTCCCAAGAACGCAATCCAACTCTTGTGTCCCAGCCCTAAACTCATCTAGAGTTTTACACTTTTTGCTTTGAGAAACAAACATGTATCATTTAAAGCGATCCTGTACCTCTGTGGTGCTCTGCAGCAGCGGCAGCCGCGACTGCTGCCTCTAGGTGCGCTCTCTCATCCTTGGCAGCCAGTTGGGCCCCTAGGGCCCCGGACAGGGCCAGCAGACCGGATCCTCCGCTGAGTGCCAAGCCGGGGTGGGGCAGTCCTGATGGGTGTGGGCCCATTGGCAAACCCTGGGCATGCTGGGAGAGGTGCTGGGCCTGAAGCTGCTGCTGTAGAGAGGATGAAGAAACAGAGAAGAGACAGAAGAAAGAGATCTGGGTGACTTACAAGCATTGGAAGAAGTGGCTGAATAGGAAGGGATCAAGAGTAAGAAAAGAGGAAGGGAACTAAGTGCTGCGATATGCACGAGAGGGGAAATGCTGAGGTCAAAGCAGTGACTCTTCAGGAGGGGAAGCTCTGCAGCCAAATCAGCATGATGGGAGATAAAGTGACAAATAACTAACTGGATTATTATTTAAAACTAAATTTATTGTTTAAAATTCTCCATTAATCATATGGGCCATTTGATAGGGCCAATCTTTTCATCGTTGATGCTGTTCATGTACCTGATAAGGCCACTTGAATCACAAAAGTCTTAAACCATCTTGGTCGGTGGCCAATAAATCAGAATATTTTAGAGAGGGCCAATGGATCTTTGCCTCGGTAAAAGCAAAAGAAAGGAGGGAATATAAATAAATGGGAGGATAAGGTACACACGCTATGAGGCAGAGGGGGGAGCCCACGTACCCCTATCGAAGCATTTAGCTCCCCCATGGTCACCTGTTTGGCGCGCTCCATGGCCTGGACCACCTGTTGTTGGTGCTGTGGAACAAACCAAGAGGTCAGTGAGGGCAGGTGGATTCAGAATTAAATACTCTGATTTAAAATTAAAATGTTTTCCCCCTGTAAACAGAATTAATATTAATGACGTGTAACATTTCTTAATTACTGTGAAAAAGTATTCATACTCTCACAGACAGCATATTTGAAATTTTTTTTCGCTCTGGGAATCATGGGAGCGCATGCAACCATTTGGCGATCGAGAAACGTGCTTTGAAGTTCTATCCATCTGCAGCTGTGTGTGTGTGTGTGTGTGTGTGTGTGTGTGTGTGTGTGTGTGAGTGAGTGAGTGAGTGTGAGAGAGATTGTCTGAGAGATCATCTGTTGTGTGTTTGCATGTGCACACATTCTGTGTTGGCTGCTGTCAGACAGGAGAAAGAGGGCTGGATGCAGTACAGTGTGTGTGTGTGTGTGTGTGTCACCTCCTGTGACAGGAATGGGATGAGCTGGGCACAGATCACGTTCAATCGCTTGGCAATCTCCGTCTGGAAAAAAAAACAAAACAAAACAAAAAAAGATACTGTTGGGTTAATGAACACGCACACACAGCCAAGTTTGAGTTCGAACAAAAAGAAAACACACACTTATAAAAAGGTCTCAAACACGCTCACTCACACACCGTGGCTGTGGCCTGTTTCTCCCAGGGCCGGTGTGGTAAATATTTCAGCTGCTTACATTTGGTCCATGCAAATGGAAACTCTGCCAGGGAGTTTGGCTAAAATATTCATGGACAGCATCTGCTGTGGCCTCAGCCAGCCCACACAGAGTGTGTATATGTGTGTTTCTGATGTGTCCTTGCATGTCTGTTTGTCTGTGTGTGTGTTTGCATTTTGCATGCTTGAATGTGTGTGCGCGTGCAAGTTTCCTGCTGGGGGTCAGGGATTCTTGCTGTGGGTGTGTGTCTGTCTCGATCTGCTCTACTACACAGCCAACAGCAAACTCTTCCTCGTTCCCTCTCCCTCCTCCTCCTCACCAACATAATCTCTCTTTCCATCTCACTCCCTTTATTGCTCTTTCCATCCATCTCCCTTCCCAGTATTAGTGCAGTTATCATTGTTACAGGTGCTGTCATGTGATGTCTAACACACACACACTCGTTTAGTGGCTGGCCCAACAAGGCCGGTAATGATATGCATGCAGAGATCATGACAACATCATTATGGCCACAGGCTGTTTGTCTTGTTGACAGCTAGAGTCTGCTGTCTGTGTGCGTGAGAGAGAGAGAGAATGCAAGACCCCCACCCCCCCCCACCCCATTCTCTCTAAGTGATTTATTGATGCTGGACTGAACTTCCACCCCCTCCTTATTCTTGCTCTTCCTCTCTCATGCTCTTTCTCTCATTCCTCCCTCCCTCCACTCTCCATTTTTCAGCCAGGCAGCACCACCCCAACCCCCACCCCTTCCTTCCTTCCATCCTCTGAATCCATCACCCCCCACCCCAAGGGAGACACAATGATTTCTTGTTAGAGAACTCCAACTACTAAATGACATCTTCAGGGGAGAGAGAGAGAGAGAGAGAGAGAGAGAGAGAGAGAGAGAGAGAGAGAGAGAGAGAGAGAGAGAATGAAAGGAGAAGGCGGAGGAAGGAGAGGAGGAGGAAAAGGGCAGATTGGATTGAAGGAATGACAGCCAATGAACGAATGATGTGGGAGGGAGAGAAGTAATACAGAAAAAAGAAACAGAAGGAAGGCGGGGGAGGAAAATCGAAAAGGGGGGGGTGGCAGTGGCGGCGGAGGCACGACAAAGGCGAAGCGAGTGAGATGGTAAAATGAACGGAGAGGGAGAGAGAAAGAAAGGGAGAAGAGACGGCAAGAAGGCAGTGACCTGATTTAAAGTGAAATTCAGCATGGACTGTATGTCTGCAAGGAGACAGAGGTGGAGAGGAGGGTGTGCAAAGACAAAATAGAGATAAAGAGGGAGAAAGAGAAATCAATGGAAAGGAAGGGAGACAGACAGGCATGGTGAAGAAATGGAGATTAAGAGAGAGCGGCATTCAAAAGACAAAGTAAGACAGCAATTGAAGGGAAAGGGGGAAAAAAGGGATAGGGGACAGAGACACAGGGCAGGGAGGAGGGAGGGAGCACAGAGGTAGTAACAGACAGGGATTTATGATTCATGGGAGGGTGTTGTGGAAAATTGAGGAAGGGCAGAGTATTCACATCTGTCTGTGGTGGGGAAATTAATTGTGTTTGTGGATCCCATTAACGCCTCCACAGCATAACGCCGCTATAGAGGTCCATCAGAGAGAGACTGACACTACAGTGGTAAAGAGACAGGAAGAGAAAGAGAGAAAGGGGTACAGACTTTCCTGTAAAATATAAGTTACTTTGAGTGGAGCTAATTGCGGGCCAAAAAAAGGAGGCGGTGATAATAATAAAAGCTTCAGGTGTATAAGGAAAGAAGGACGAGAGAGGAGGTGAGAGACATTTAGAGCAAGAGACCTGGAGCTCACTCACCTGTTTGTGCATTTCAATGTTAAGGCCGTAGGACATCTCGTAATACTGAAACACACCAGACATCAATTAATATACAAGAAAATCACATGATTGGCATACACAAACTCATGTGAAGAGTACATAAACCTCAGTTTTTTATTATTATTATAATATAATGAATATTTCCTATGTGGATATAGGAATATGGACATCATTTTGAAAGACTGAATGAGGAATGCAGACTTTTGTGGAATAAAAACAAAGCTATAAATACACTATTTACTCCTATTTGTTTTCTAAAAACTGCTATTTTAGGAATTTACTGAAATTAAACTATATATTTGTGATCCGTTCATCTTCCATCTTATAAAAATAACTAAAAAAACCCATACAAAAACTCTTTCTTCAAGACAAGAACCAATGACAAATTACCCGACAAAAAACATCTCATTGTGCCATGACGTTATGTGTGACCCTACGTTTACATAAATTGGCATTTCAGTCATTGTTTTTATACAAATAAACTCAAAAGTGTGAGCCCTGAACCACTCTAAATCTTTTCCTCTGCTCCGAGCTTCAGGAGGACGCCAGCCCTCGCATGAGCACTCTGAAGTGCCCATATGTCCCTAAAAGCACATTACCACTAATTCCACCTTGACTCTGCTGAAAGTCAATGACACTAAATTGACCCTGAGGTGCGTTTCAGGAAGCCAGAAACTGGAAGCGAGGCAGGGAAATTTTTGCCAGGCAGAAGGAGGTGATAGACTATTGCAATAATCATGTCTAATGTGAGCTATTTGACCCTGGCTTTTACCCGAAGGTAGAAGGAGCTGTGAGGAACGCAGGAGCAGATGCCACAGAGAGAGAGAGACATGTGAGGGTCTCCCTCTCCCCCTATCTTTAGAGATGGATGAAAGGAAAGAGGAGAGCATTTTAAAGTCAGATGCATCGAAAAGTGACAGGTTGACATTTGCTTTTCAGCGTGGCTGGTTGTGGAGAGAAGAGATTGGCAGTTAGGCAGCCAGAACAGGCTGGCAGGATGCGAGAGGAGATGGCAGGGGTCCTCTCTCTCCAGACATCTTTCCTGGCAGTTAGCGTTGTTTGTGTGTGTGTGTGTGTGTGTGCACATTTGTAGCACAAGCAAGCAACTATGCAGGCGTGTGTATCTGTTTGCTTTCTGTGCACGCTTCCCTGAGAGCGAGTGTGTTTCTCTGTGCGTGTGCGCTCCTCGTTCGCCGTGTGTCTGTGTGCCACCATAAAAGACGCCTTTCCTGGCAGCTGCCAGCTCTGCTTGGCAGTTGGTGTGCCAAGTTTCGCCTGTTGCTTAGCAACATCCAAACTCATCCAAACCCAAATCATCAGCCAGAAAAGGAGACCTGGCCTGCGCTTGATGCTAGCTCACTCCACATGGTCACATGTTTACTTCTATAACTTCCCCTGCCCTCAGTGATGAGACGCAAAAAGCTTCAAACTTAGACGAACATTTACAATGAGTGGGCAAATTAAGCAGCGGTGTCAGAATACACCGTGTGATCACACTAAACCCTAACAGAGCAGTGTGGGAGGGAATGACTGACAACCAGTGACACAGCAGTGTGACAAGTCTGCATAACTCTCATACATCAACTACTCAAGTATTGTTATTCATTAACCAATTAATCATTTGATCTTTAGAATGTCATAAAATAATGGAAAATACCCAACACCATTTCAAAAGATGATACTCTCCAACAGTCTTAAGCCCAAAGTCTTTTATTATAGTAAAGTTAAAGAAAACCAGCAAACATTCAAGAAAATTTGGGATATTTTGCTTACAGGATGATGTCAACGATTGGTCAATTAATTTTCTGCTGATCAACTAACTCAGCTCTAGCGAAGTTCAGCAGCAACTTCATAGCACTATTAGAGATAAAAAAGTCCACAGGTTGGCTTTAAGTTCACATGAACTCTTGTTAAATGCTCCATTGTGGCTTGAATTAAAATCAGACAGAGGCATCCAAACATTACAAATTTGCTATTTATCACACCTGTGCTGCTTACTGTAACAGACACAGACACTCAAGATGGGAGTTGTTTCCAATACGTCAATACTAGTATAATATAAAATACAATATAATTCCTAGCAGGATAATACTTCTTTTTTAAAAACAGGGTTTTCAACAAAAAACTTTTTTTCATTTAACAAAAGAATCCAAAGATCTCAAATGTTAATTGTTCTCTGAGCACAAGCAGTTGAATTTCTGATTTAAAATTGGGAACAATGTGATCAAAGAATAAAGAAAAGTATGAATCAGATCAGACAATGGATTCCAGCTTTCAGCACTTAGGCATTTGATACTCTGTGCTGTCAACTCGGTGGGTTGGTGCCATAGACTGTACATGAAGATGGTTGGTACCGAAATGTTTGAGGTTCTATAAACAGCCCTAGACAGATGTGGATACACATCAGCAGTATAGCCCACGACTACATATCTCAGACATGAAAAGAAATACGCTCAAACAACAAGCCCAAGACTGCACGCCCATGTAAGTGCTGTTTATTCTGCAGTCCTATAATATGGATGTGTGTGTGGTCTTGCGGGTGGTTTTTGGTGGGTGTTGTTTGGCAGCTGTTGGCAGATGAAAGGGATTCAGCGGACTTGGCACCGGACTTGAGTGAATGTGGAGAGACATGGCCTCTGTGTGTGTGTGTGTGTGTGTGTGTGTGTGTGTCTCACCATCACGTAGTGTCTCTGGATCTCAGTCTTCTCTGTAGCCAGTTTCTCACATTCCATTTTCAAACTGCAACAGAGAGAAGAGCAGAAAAAATAAAGACAGTGAGTTTTGCTGTGTATCATATCCCAAATAAAAATACAAAATGCAATTAGCAACATGACAACAAATTACTCCTTACTCACTCACACTCTCTGTCACCCCTCTCCTTTCCCTCTCCCTACTCTCTCACACTCGGTGGGGGAGGAGGGAGCGGGGTGACTGGGGTGCTGACAGCCCATTATCACCTCAGAGCAGAGCAGAAATAGACAAAGTCACGCTTGGAGCTTGAAACCCAGCCAAGACTGCAGGCAGGCACAGCCAAGGTGTCTCTCTCTGGACAATTTTCAATCTATCCATGTGCCCTCCACTCCTCCTCATTTTGTTGCTTCCCCAATTACCAGCCAGTCCGTCTGTTTCTCTCTCTGTCTGACCGTTCCCCCTTCTTTCACCTTCGACAGCACACTTCACTGAAGTCGAAGCTTCTGCTTTAAGTGGGTCAAAAGGGCCAATTCTGTCTGGATATGTAATAAATCTGCCTTTTTCTGTTTTAACAATCACTTCTCCCTTCTTGTGTTCAGGACATGACCTGTGTCTGCTGCTTAGTCTCTGAGCATGTCAGGCTACCACAGCTACAGCGAGGGCCTGGAAGCACTCACTAACCCCACCCCCACCCCACACACCCTCAACCACCCACCCACACACCTCTCCCAGGTGTCCTATATTTCTGTCTTTCTCTCCTCACACCCAAACCAGCCCCCGGTGTCCTCTAAAAATGGATAATGTCAACGGCTGGTTTTGCAAACACACACAATTCCATTTCTAAACCTGTTTGCAGATCAGGTCCAAGTACACAAACACCTCCCATGTTACCCATGCAACTCTCTCTCCTCTGACTACCTACAACTCCTCCTCCCTGCCCAGAGAGGTAGTATATTTAGGGCTCTTGGCAGTTTACACCGGCTTGTTTGCAGGCGGCAGATAGATTGATTTGGGGAGGGGGGGGGGGGTCGATTGGCAGAGGAAAATTAGAATATGATTAATACCGCAACATTACACCCAGCCGCAACAGGTAATAACGGCTCCATCCGCTCTACTCCTCCTGCACCGTGTGCACACACCACACACATACGCAGATATAATTGACTCATTTATCATTGCCAGCCAGTCGAGGAGAAGAGGGACGAGGGAGGGAGAGAAGCAGGACGAAGAGTGGGAGAGGGTTGTGGTGGTGGTGGAGGGGGTAGTGAGGATTAAACCCCCCCACCCTCTAGATTTTATTACAGTGGAATTGCCTCTCGGCAGAAGTTACTCACAACTGGGCTGAGAACTAATGAGACTGTGTGTGTGCACGCGTTTGTGTGCACGCACTGCCAGCACGTTTATCACGACATAAACTTGGGATGAACAGATCAATGACTAGACACACGTACAAATAACAGAAATAGTTATTGATCGGCACAGAGATAATAAAATGTTTTGCTGTGATTAGGGCTGTAACTAAAGATTTTAATTAGGGATTAATTAATCAGTCGATTATCGTTTATGATCACTTAATCCTTTGGTCAATAAAATCAAAAGAAAGTGACAATGTCCATCAAAACTTTCTAGAGCCTGTGTTTTGCGGATTTTTTCTTACAGTCCAAAATTTAGTTTTTATAAAGCAGAGAAAAGTATCAAATCCTCACATTTGACAAGCTGGAAACAGAGAATATTTTGCAATTTTATTTGATACATGACTTCAACAAAGTCTAACAATATTTTTTTTATTATTACTACTACTACTACTACTACTACTACTACTACTACTACATATGCAGCAGTAACCCAGTTGGGATCTAAATGCGTAAAATCAGTCCTCTGTTTTTGGCAAGGCAATCCAGAAACTGCACAATAGAACTGCAAGGCTGCATAGCAAATGTGTATACACACACACACACACACACACACACACACACACACAGGGTGCAGACGGACACTTCTTGCGCTTACAGGAAAGACCCCAAGGTCGCACTCAGAAAGAAATAACCATTCCCCACAAAATGGACTTCAAGGAATGAAATTACTGTGTGTGTGTGTGTGTGTGTGTGTGTGTGTGTGTGTGTGTGTGTGTGTGTGTGTGTGTGTGTGTGTGTGTGTGTCATTATGTGACTGCAGGAGCATAAAAGTGAGAAGGGAAGAAAATGAGGGAGAGAGGGGAGGAGAGTGGTGAGCAGGAAGTGGGTATTTCATGTCAAAATGATTGCCTGTAATAATTAGTGTTTGGCTCGGCACCATTTACTGAGAGAGAGGGAGGGAGAGAAGGTTTGGAGGATGGAGAGAAAGACACAGCAACACAGAGAAAAAACAAGACTGAGTGAGCGAGCAAGAGAGGAAGAACCAGCAGAGGAGGAGATGACGACTGTGTGTAAGTGTGTGTGCATGCGTGTGTGTCACGGTGGGCTCAGTTCCTCCAATCTTTCACTGTCGGTGACAGGAGATAAGATGATCAGCCGAATGCGCTACAAATCTGCAGCCTGCCAGCCTTCAGACAGCTCTGTCAGTGCTGGAACTGCTACTAAAAACAGTACTAAAAACACACACACATACACACACGGAGCATGGAAGCATTTAGGTGTGCATACTTGTACACACTAAACCAACATACTTACAGCACATAGTGCATGCATGTAGGCACACAGAAACAAAAATGCACAAGCACACATCGTATGTTCACCCACACATCCACACAAACCTGTTAAATAAAACACAGCCATGAAAACAAACACACACACACACACACACACACACAGGAGAGCCTACAGACAGTGAAGCATCTAATTAAGATCCTGCACTTTGTAGAAATGTGCCGACTGCCTTTCTAGTCTCCATGTTTGAAACAGGCTACTGGGTATTGTAAAAAATGTCAACTCTTTCCTTTCCAGTGTTTATTTTTCTTAATACTTTTACTTTCACCATTCCCTCATTGATTATCGTACTAAAAGGAACAAAGGGATGTTTCTATAAAACGCTTGTCCGTTGCTTTTGGTTGTTTGAGAATATTTTTTAACTGTGTTCACAGAGATAACATTCAAGAGAACATTGATTTTTTTGCACAAAAAAAAGGCATCAGAGTGAGCAGGACTGCAGACACATCATTAAATGAGTTGGTGCCAGTTGATAGGACAATAATAATTATGTAATTTTGTCTCTTGAAAAGTAAGTATATAGTTGAATTAAAGTTCTTTGTCAACAAGCATTGGGCAAGCGTCACCTTAAAAAGCCATTTTAAAAAGGAAAAAAGTTGTTCTTCCACCAGCCAACTGGGTGTCTGTTCTAAACATATGCACAGAGTAGAGGAGACTGAAGGGTAAGGCTTTCCCAACATAAAGGTTTAATGACACTGTTATCCTAGGATATGTACATTTTATTGTGACAGACATTTCTAGTTATATCTAGGGCTAGGTATAGAACCACTAAATATAGACGTTGTCAGCGGTAACAACATAAACAAACGGTACTGCGCATGTGCATTACTCTGGCCCAAAATTAATTTCCGGCAGACTTCCGCAAACGCACAATTCTGAAAGAGGCCCAGTCTGTCCCGAGTTACAGCCTGGTTACAGCCAGTCTTACCAGCATCGGAAGCTGCGGGGGAGGGTAACTCCGGTGTCGTTACTTGTCTATTAAACACGAGAGGAGTCCCTTGGTTTTATTTTTGTTGGTCAACTTTTAAATTGAACCTCAAACGGAGTATTTATTTATTTTTTGCTTACTGGGATATAGAAAGATGGACTCCTAGGAGATTTGAACTGAGATAAGGACTCATTATTTGGTGGTTGAACTGTGGGTTTTGTATTGAGCGCTCACTGTATAACGCACTGTGGTGAACTTAGTTTTTCTTGTGGTCTGTAGGTAGGCCGACCTGATATTATATAATATTATTTAATGCCATGACTTGACTTTCTCATATTATTAAAATTTGATACTTCACATTTCACCATTGCTCATAATAATAATTCACCTAATTTCATCATAACACAGACCTGACCCACAAGAAAGAGCAGTGTATGTTTAATCTATCTAATATTGTGTTGGTCATACTATACACTGCTTGTCCATTTTTAATAATAAAGAAGGTAAAGAGCTTAAAAATAAATTGCATTTTAAATCACAATAAAAAGCGCAATTAGACTATTTTCCAAATTCGTAGCTGGAAATAAACGCTTTATCAGATTCTAACGTCTTGTTGACCAATTCTTTTATCGTTCATCTTCTCATATAAAATCATTATTTTGGTAACTTTACGCTCTATGTTTTTATATTTGGGAAGTAAGGTATACAAAATAGCATCGATTGGTAAGGTACGTACTGAACCTCAGGCGTCAAAGGCTGCCTAATGATGATTTTCATTATCAATTAATGTTCACTATTTTCTAGATTCATCTATTAATAATATGGTCTATGAAATGTCAGATACCCATCAAATGTTCTCAAAGCAACATGTTGTTCTGACAAGACAGTTCAAAACTGACATATTCAATTTAAATCATATAAAACTAAAAAGCAGCTAATTGTCTCATTTAAAAAGCTGCAACCACAGAATGTTTAGCATTTTAGCTTAATGAATAACTTAAATAATTAACAAAATTGTTCATTTCTCTATCAATTGACTAATCAAATAAGGACTAATTGTTTCAGTGCAACATTAAAACAAATAATGAAAAAGCATACATCCTGATTAACATTATTCTCACAAAATATGAACAGTTTTTATGTAGAAACACTTCCAGGCAAGTCACTCAGCACTAAAGCTACTGATCCTTATTAATCCTGACATACTGCTACCAAGTCTGGTTCCACAATCACTTGTTCTGCAGTCTGGAGCCCATCGTTGTCTTGGCAGACAAGCATCATAAGTGAAGTGACAAAAGTGTTATACAAATACAGAGCTACCAGCCAGTAAAGAAAATACACACACACACACACACACACACACACACACACACACACACACAGCCAAGTAGTGACTGCACCAGTGTTGTGCCTTT